CTCCAATGATTGTTGGAGGGCACCCCAGCGGTGCAATCTTCTGAAGTGGCTCTGTTCTGGAGTTTGCTAGGCAATACTGGCCCGTGACAGCCATATAAGCTATATATTCTGTCATTCATGCACCACCTACACCACACAAGAAGATATGGAAGGCGCGCTTCGCTTTGCCCAGGATCAACTCAGCACATGATCAGTGCGCATGTGTGTGTGTGCGTGTGCGTATGTGTGTGTGTGTGTGCGTACGTGCGTGCGTGCGTGTGTCTCTGTGTGAATATATATATATATATATATATGTGTGTGAGTGTTCGTGTGTGCTTGTGTTTGTTTGTGTGGTTTGCTCGCTTGCATGTTTGTTGGTTTGTGTTCTTGCGTGTTTGCTTGGTTGTTTAAATGCTTCCTTGATTGTGTACTTGCTTGCTTTTGCTTGCTTTTGCTTGCTTTTGCTTGCTTTTGCTTGCTTTTGCTTGCTTTTGCTTGCTTTTGCTTGCTTTTGCTTGCTTTTGCTTGCTTTTGCTTGCTTTTGCTTGCTTTTGCTTGCTTTTGCTTGCTTTTGCTTGCTTTTGCTTGCTTTTGCTTGCTTTTGCTTGCTTTTGCTTGCTTTTGCTTGCTTGCTTGCTTGCTTGCTTGCTTGCTTGCTTGCTTGTGGGTGTGTTTGTTTGTTTGCTTGCTTGCTTGCTTGTTTGTTTGCTTGATTGTTTGTTTCTTTCTTTATTTCTGTCTTTCTTTGTTTGTTTTGTTTGTTTGTTAGTTTTCTTTGTTTGTTTGTTTGTTTGTGTGATTGTGTGTGCTTGTGTTTATGTGTATGTTTGTGTCCGTGTGCTTGTTTGTTTGCTTGCCAGCGCGTGCGCGAGTGATTTTGAATATGAGTGTATATGTACGCCTGTGTGTACTCGGCCTCCTACTCTTGCTTTTCCAGGGTCGATTCTTGGTGACCCGCGAAAGGGCCGGTTGTTTTGAATGTGGTTCCCCTGAAAGAGCCCTTTGAAGGGTTGCCCCTGGAGAGTCCGATCCTAAACATGAATTTCGTAGACAAGATCTGTGGCCGGACTTGTAGAGCCACACTCGTAGAGCCGCAGCGCATAGTTTGATTTTGTTTCGGGTGGCTCTTGCCAACCGTGCTTTAAGAATGCAAATCGTGCATACGAATTCCCTCGCGGAAAACCTCCATTTTCAGAAACACGGAAGGCCAGCAGAAGGCCGGCGGAAGCGGAAGGCTTTGCGGAAGGCTTTGCGGAAATGGCCGCTGCAATGCGCACAACTCGCTACGATGGTAGACCACCCTTCGGTAAATTCACCCCGGGAACTTGTGTTTTCAAACCTTCAAGGCCTCTGCTTTAACCTATGGCCCCTTTGTTAACCTTGAAGTCTTCTGGGCTCTTTGTAAAACTCTAGTCACTTTTTCAGCTGCAAAGTCTTCTGGCTGACCGGGAGATTCTCTAACCTAGGTTGGAGCTGGTTGCGCATATCTGGGCATGTGCCCCCTGTGAATTGTCTTTACACAGGCAAACAAAGACAGCCTATCCAACCAAGGATGCATAGAAACACGGCATCCATCCACCATTCACGTTCCAAACAGGTCACCTGGGTTATAGCCTCTGGATCCAGATAGTTTCAACTTGGTTTTGAGCAACACGTCGCCACATCGTTCATTGTAATCTGTCCTACCAACCTAAATTGATGATTCAACAGGTCCGGGTAAACAAACCAAAACAATATATATATATGGTTTATATGTTTTCCATTTTTTAAAAAAAAAGTAAAAAAAAAAAACAATAAACAAATAACATAAAATGAAAATGAAGCGACTCCGAGCGGCTTGAACCTCAGGATCCATCGCCCAGGGCCCAGCGCTCTGCTGGCTTTCCACCACCTCAAAAACATCCAAGTGGTTCAGAGTTGAATCAACCCTGTGAATCAACAAACTGAATGAACCAATTTGAACCAACAAACTCACTGAACCAATCATAGGTTGATTGGGTTTCTTCAGATTCCATTTCTTTCCGCGGATCCCGTTTCTGGACAGGAAACTGGGCCTTCTTTGTTTTTTTCAATTGGGCAACTAGTTGCCATTCAGGCCGATTCATAGGCGCAAATCCAGACACTGTGGTTGGACGTGGACAAATATGGGGCTGTGTCCGTGTGTGTGTTTAAAGGTTCCCCTTTGTTCAGGTTTTAAAGGCAAACCAAAAGGAACGGAAGGGATCATGGTTTGGAAAACCGGAGAGCGCGTTGGCGGGGAAGCGAGCGCGTGCGGTGTCTCTTTGTCGATGCCCCATGCTGCTTGAATCACTTAGAAACGGAAGTGCCAACACCTCTCAGTCAGCAATTACCCTCATGACGGTTCGTCCCAGGATGGCCATGCACCCAACTGTACCCTGAAAAGGACCGCCGAGATTTGGCTTAGCTTTGAAAGATGTTGTGCCAAACGCATGAGACAACAACTTGGGACGGACTCTGGGGGTGCTAAGTGCGGGTGGATCTTGAGGTCTAACACAGATCA